GGGGGGGGGGAATGGCGGAGCGTCGTGCAGGCCCTCCGCGCCCACCCCGCTGCTGCGGGAGAAGTCGGGGGACCCGTGTCTTACCGCGCTGTTTTGGCATGGAAACGCTGCCCGGGGGAGGGGGGTGGTCTTCTGGCGTGACGTCAGGCCCGCGTGACGTCAGGCCCGCGTGACGTCAGGCCGGCGCGGCCCGGGTTCCCTCGGCTGCCGTGGGGGGAGTGTGGATGTACATCGTGTTTCCCGGTGCCTCGAGCAGCCCAGCTCCAGCGGGGTTTTTCCACGAGCGAGCTTGGGCGCGGGTGGGGCCGGGGCTGCTGGGGACAGGGGTCTCGTTCGGGGGAGTTTTGTGCCTGATCGGTTTTAGCTGACAGAGGGAAAAACACACTTGTTCTCATGTGCAGCCGATCCCGTGTCCTTCATGAGTTACCCTGTGACATGTGTCAGGCAGCCAAGGGACCGCGTACACGGCAAAACACCATGTTCTGGCAGGCAGCCATGCGTGGGTGAGATCTCCTGTGGGTTTTTGGGCTGTGGGTGCAGCCGCTCCCCCGAGAGCCTTTGCTGGTGCTGGCAGAGGGTGAACCCTCCCTGCGGCCTCCCCCACGCTGGGAACATCGGTAAAGACTCTTGTCAAGGCCGCACCGTCTGTTTTCACAAACTTTCCAGGATTTAATGTCTTCAGGGCTCTGCCATGTGCTGCTCCCAGATGTGAAAGAGGGTCAGAGGGGCCTCGTGGGTTCCTCACAGCAGCCTTGTTTCTGCAAGACACCGCTCTGCGAGTAGGAAGGTGTGCTGTGTGCAGAAGCGATCCATTTAGATTGATTTAGTGCGCGTTATTACCAATTAGCTTGCTGTAAATGCTAAAATGCATTTCCATGTTGTGTGCCAGAAGTGGCAGTCAGTTAGAGCAGTCTGTGGTCTGTCAGATGTGTCTTGGTTTATTGCTTCACTTTTCTCCAGGTATGAAATGATGTTATGAGCAGTGAATGTAAAGCTATATAACCTGCAACCTCTTGGGCCCCAATTTTGCAGTGCCTTATAAATGCGTGTAATTTTAAGTACTATCAGCACTTCCATTGACCTCAGTGGGACTACTTACAGTGCTCTAGGTTAAACACAGATACACTTTTTCAGGATAAGAGCCAAAGATGACTCATACAAGCGTATGCATCATGGATTTTTATCTTTCCACTGCTATTTGTTGTTGCAACTTATGGTTTAATAAAGGTTAAATATGTTGAGCTCAACTTCAGGTTCAGTTGTAAAATAGCCAGTTTCTATTCTGCACATTTCATCTTGCTTGGGCTTAATGCTTTCTTGAAGAATTGTGATGTTGGCACTGTTCATGCTTTATCCTTTTTGGATCCTTTATCAGCTCCAGCAGCTGTTTTGCATAAGTGTGATGGTTGAAGAATATGGATTTCGCAAATCATTTTATTTTTCGCAGCACTCGGCGGTGAGAGATCATTGTCTGCTTAGCAATAATGGCTTTTCCAAAAGCGAAATGTGACAAACAATTTCTAATAAATTGGACCTCGAAGAGTTTAATAGTAAAATTCAATGACCCATCACCAATGTTTTATACATTATGCAAGCTCAGTGCAGATATAGCGGAGAGCATATGCAATTACTGAAGATAATTATCTTATTCTTATGAGGGAAAATGTTGCTGAGTATTTCTTGTGTTAAATAATTGACTGAGGTTCCTAATGTCATTTTAGGAGGAGTGTCACAGACACTTGGAAATCTAACAATTTAAATTAAATAATTTAAAATGACAATAACAGAGGCAAAGTACAGGAGGTACTGGAATTATTCTCTAATAAATCTAAAACATTAGTTGGGAGGTTATTGTTTTAGAAGACTGTAAGTTTTTCTGTGTGTTTGATTCAATACTGAAGATAAGGGTTTGTCTTTACTGCAGAGCTATTATCAGTTGTAACTACATCAAATGCTGTTAAGTCCCAATGCATGCAAAAGCCATTAAGTGCAGTGGCATTTTTAACTGAAGGCAGTTGGGTTGTGGAGCGATGTATGCAGAAGATCTGCGACCGCAGCTCCTCACTTGCTAGCGCAAGTTGTGACAGAGTCTCGAATGGCAACTCTGGCAATCCAAATGTCAGTGGTCCACAAACTACTAATGGCGTGCAGCCTGCCTTTAAGAAATCTGCACAAGGTTACCAAAATACACAGGTCAGATGTCAGCAGTCTTCTGAAGGCTCTGAAACACTCTGAAAATACTAGGGGTCTAAAAAAGGAAGGTTAAAACCACTCCTTCAAACAGAAGAATAGTTGTTCATCAGCAGCAACCTTAGTATTGGGGTTTTTTCAGACCTGTGCAGTTGATGTGGCTGGGATGCTCTTCTCCAGAGGCAGCGGGACTGGTAATGCTTTTCCTAAAGTGTAACTGGTGGAAAACAGGAACAAAAGAGGCCTTCGTACTGTTTTTAACCATTTAGCTGTGGGAAAGTAGCTTCTTCAGCACAACGGTATAATTGAGTTCTCAGCGCTGGTCTCATGTTAAATGAATGGACAAGAGGCATGATAGAAAACAGAGTGGGGCCAATAAAAAATAAAGAGGGCAGATGAAGGGATTGCTGTTTACATGGAAACAAGTGGAGGGCCTGTTTTCCAGTTTCTCCTGCAGGATTCGTGGGTGAGTTGGTTAGTCAAGCTTGAAGGAGAGTTGGACACAGCTGTCTTCTTTGCCTTCTTTGTTAAACTGGTTTTGGCAATAACCACAACAGAAATGGGTCAGATACCATGTTTCTCATCGGATGTCAAGTCTGGAATCTGGTTTGACCTTCAACAAATTAACTTTAACTGAAAAAAATTCCTGGTCTAGGTAGTGTGTTATCAGCAAATTTTCCCATTCTTCAATATGCTTAATTTTTCTCTGCTGAAAACACAGTTAGTACAAATCACCTGTATTTATTTATATTACATTATTTTTCATAAGTGACAGGATTTCTGTCTCCTTTAGGCAGTGTTAACTAGTGATTCTGGAAGGATGAGAAGTGTCTGCATTATTTATTAAGAACATTTATTAAGAAAATTTATTCCTTTGTATTGCAATATTTATGAAATTCAACTCTACTAGCATTTGTTATTGGTAGAAGAAAAGGAGATAAATTCAAAGTCACAGTCAATGAGGTGAAGTGAGATTCTTTAAGATAACTTTTTGGCTTGTGGCTTCTGTACTCTGTAAATTGTTTTTTAGGGCTCTGGAGCAGTCTAGATGGAATCGTAACTTCAGGGAATGCATATTGGATTAGAAAGTTTCTTGAATCAAGCTTCCAGGAAGATTGATTACAGATTTTCTCTTATTGGTGTCATCTCACTTTGTTACAAGTTGGTTTTATTCTGGCTTTCAAAAAAGGAAAATCCTTGTGTGCAAAGAACATAAAAGTAAAGGGTGTATCCTAATGTCTTAAAATATCTTTTGTGCACATTAATTTGAAGAGTGTTAATTCTGTCCCTAGACAAAACAGTTTTTCAAATTGCTATGAAATATGGGGCAGCATTTGGGTAGAGCAGATGATAAACAAGACCACTGAGATGTAGCAGCATAAACTAAAAGATTTTCAACAGGGTCTTACTGTAAAACAAACAAGAAAAAAAGAGGCAGAGTTAGAATACAGCAGCAGCAAGAGAGGTTGCAAAAAAGGAAGTACGTTTAGACATTGGTGTCCTGCTATTCAGAAAGGGACTTCCTCTCTGTGGCTGCAGATAACTGCCAAGAGAGTTTTCCCAACACAAATTATAAGCATATTATGTAAGCATATTTAGACATCTAACACCGATCGTGCCTCTAAAATCAAGTAAGTAGATGTATAAATGCTAAAAATCAGATGTGTGTGCGCTTTGGTTTTTCTGTAGATGCTAAATGAAAGATTGGCTTTAAAAAAACAGGGCTTAAAAGCACTTTGATATTGGTGGGGAGGGAGGCAGAAATTATATCCTCTTTCTTGCTTTTCTTCCTCTATTAAGAAAGCACTTTTTCTCGGTTAACACATGCAGAATCCACTTTCTGACCCTGAAGATAGTTATGCATTTCAAGTAGTATGAACAATTCATTCTTTTTTTAAAACCTTTTTCCACTTAATGATTATTGTTCCTGAGATTATTTATTTGGATGGGAAGATGAACATCTAGAGGACTGAAGGTTGTGCTAATACCTTCTTACCCTCGTTTCATTACTGTGTTCTGAGCAAAGCTCTGATTTGGAACCTCTCGGCTGACAGTTTATATTATGCTAATCGAAATCTGTTTACTGAAAATGAAATTTGAATACGCCATAAGCTTGCTATCATTAATAAACTTAATTTTTTTTTTTCAGTTGGATTTCCAGTTTCCACTTCTAATATTGATGGTCTTGAAAGTGCATTTGGATCCACGACATCTTCTATCACTGAACAAATCAAGAGCCTCCTCTCCTATCGCAAAGCAATACGGACAGCTTAATATCATATGACCTCATTTCTCCAAATTAAATGAAAAAAGAATTTTCTCTAGTTTTCCATGAAGCTCAGCTATTGCCTGTTAATTTTGACTGTTAGTGCTGATCTTTCAATTGGATTTACACCAGAAAATGTAGCTTTTAACAGGACAGTTGCTTTTGGGTCTTTCAATGCATCACTTCATACAGTGTCTCAAGCTTTAGTAAGTTCTCCAGCACACCATGATATCATAGCCAAAGAGGGGACCAGTATTTTAATTGAATGTAGACTGAACATCAGCCAGTATGAATATATTCTTTGGTATAACTCCAGAGGACACCTGCTTGAACAGAAAGATGAAGGTGAGCTTTCCTGCTGTTTTCTATCCTCCAGTATTCCCCTTTTATACAGTATCTGAAAACCTCTGGGACTTTTTATCATTTTCCCTGCCTATCCTCCCATTTATACAGTTGGGAGATAAGGAGGGAGCAAGACAGAGCCCTTTGCCCTCTGGCATGTGGGATGTGAATTACACTTGAGTTTTGTCCTAGCCCATCCATCCTGCTGTGGTGCCCCACAGAATCATTTCGTTCAAAAGGCATCACAGTATTCAGTATAGAAGAAATTAATCTGCATCCTACCAGATACTAACTGATGTTTTTATTTATTATTGCTCTTTTTTATATTATATTTTTTCAAACACATGAATTAAACACAATTCTCCACAACTTGTGACCTTTTCCAGCTGGCAATCAGTGTGTTAATTTTGCTACAGGATTTTTTTTAAAGCATGGGGTAACTTACTACATTTATTTTCTGGTTTATGCACCAGTGAGACTGTGGAAACTAACACAATTTGTAATGGTCAATAATGAAATACATGCTATTTAACCCTTTTGTACAGAGGGAGAATATCTTTTCCTAGCCTTTGGCTCTTAGAGTTCTGTCCCTGTAGTTTTTAATTTTCAAAAAATAATGTCTTTTAGAAATGCATGAGGTTTTCTCTACTCTATTAGTATTAATTAAGGTCATCAAGCTAATTGATAGGATCTTCTTGGAGGCCATCTTTCTGCCTTAAGCATTCAGTAACCTCCTGGTAGTTATAATGCCATCTGGAGATTAGTTCAAAGTAGAGTAATTAGAAGAATGAGTTATGAAAACAGTTTTCCTCCTAAGTTATAAACGCATAGGAAATACTGTATAAAGCTAGATTTTTTCATTGATTTCTTTTTACATGGGTTTTGTAATTCAGCACTGCATGCTCAGCAGAAAACTGTCTCAAAAAAATCTGGGGTTCTTTTGCCAGCAGAGCCATTTACAGACTCTGATCTTTTTTATGGGTCACTTGACTTTTGACTCCGAGCGTATGGAAAATTAGAGTTTATAGAGGACAGTCTTTCAACATAGTATTACACAGTGGGCAAGAAGCACTAGTTAAGAATTAGGTTCCCTGTCAGAAAGAGAAAGCACACAAGAAAGTGCAGATGAGAGAAAGGAGAAAAACCAGAGTAGCAAGCGTGCAGAATAATTTACCATTAAGCAGTAGGATTGGTAACTGGCTTTCTGCATCACAAGCATGAAAAGGAAATTTCAGTCCTTTGTGTACTGTTTGTATTATGCTAGAAATGGACTGCTTACTTCCAAGCTCAGTCTCCTGTTGACGGAGCAAACAGCACATGTCTAGTTTACGTACTGATTTTTGTTTCATTAGCTCAGTTTATTTCTTTTGAATCTCCAGGTGGCCGGTGGAGGATTGCCGATAATTCCCTTAACATCACAAAGGTCAACTTTGCTGACCGGGGGCGATATACATGTGCAGGTGTTAATCATAATGACACCTTGTATTACACAGTCACCCTGAGGGTTATCTTCACCTCAGGAGACATGAGTATTTACTACATGATTGTGTGCCTCGTTGCCTTTGCTATCACCCTCGTTTTAAACATAACCCGTCTGTGCATGATGAGCAGTCACCTCCGCAAAACAGAGAAGGCTATCAATGAATTCTTCAGGACGGAAGGGGCTGAGAAGCTTCAGAAGGCTTTTGAGATAGCCAAGCGTATCCCTATCATTACATCTGCCAAAACACTAGAGTTGGCCAAAGTCACTCAGTTTAAGACCATGGAGTTTGCTCGGTACATTGAAGAGCTTGCCAGAAGCATTCCCCTTCCACCTCTGATCCTTAACTGCCGGGCGTTCATGGAGGAGATCTTTGAGGCTGTGCGAGTTGATGATCCTGATGAAGTTGGGGAGGAGGAAAAACAGACCCAAACCTGCGGTACCCAAGCTGCGATATACCCCATCAACCCAGAGATCAAGCGCAGCGATTCACCAGCTGGGGATTCAGACGATGGGTCCATGAATGAGCAAGGTCAAGAGATAGCCGTTCAGGTGTCCATTCACCCACAGTCAGAAGTGCAGAGCATTGACACTGTTTCTCATGACAGCTGCCAGTTTGCGCCTTCTGAGGAAGGCACCTGCTGAATCCAGCGATAAGCTGTTGTGAAGGAAGCACAGGTGACCCTAGGATACTGCAAGAAAGGGGTCTGCAAACAAGCTGCCTCAGTCCCATGTGCACAAGTTTTCCAAATTGCAAGGTGCCAGAACTGCTACTGAAATCTGTATTTTCCGTCAGTGTTGATCTAACGATTTCAAGTCTGTTAGAGAAGGCCATTTGGAACATTGTGCAGTGGCTTTTCTTTTTAAAGCAAGCTTGCTATATCTAAAATATTTACAAAACAGGAATTCTTTCTCCTTGGCTCCTTGGTAGCTTCTGATACTTCTGATCTGTATTAGAAGTGGCCAAGCTGAGCAGTACAACTTGCAATAAGATCTTTTCATTTGTGAAATCTTTCTTCCTTCACAAAGTGAGCCGGAATTCATTTGAGTCAGTGTTGTTGTCCTGATGAATTGAGTTGTGTACTCTTTTTGAATTGCCTCTTGGTGCGTGTAGCCCATCAGAACCATGGTGAGCTTGAACAAATCTGTTTTGTGTCGTGTGCTTCTATGTTGCTATCAAAATGTACTGTACTTAGAAAAAGAATAGTACCAGGATCTGCTGCTGGATTAAACGAATTGTAGTTTCAAAGCAGCTTAGAGAACAACCAGGGGGTCTCAGTTTTCCATGCATCTGCAGAAAACTTGCACGTACTCTAGTGCATGGAGAGCGAATTGTTGTTACAAAGCTTGTCGCTTAAACTTGGTGCTGATTACCAAAGCGCCTTACCCTGGTTCTGTCTTACAGAATGGAGCAGTAACAGCACTGCCAGCACTGTCTGCCTTTTGACTTTGCTGATTTTACTCACTATAGAAAATCCAAAGTTTTATATTGTATTTGATATTGTTGTGAGAAAACAATGACAGTAATACATAGTGGCATAATTTAAAAATGAATTCATCTACAGATCAGGTGTCTCAGGCACTTCTTTCTGAACAACATTATAATAAAGGAGGTGAAAAGTAGTGATAACTTGCTTTGCTCTGGCTAGTGCTTTCAGAAAGCAGTGGAAGCGGGAGTGGTTAGCAGAGGGGCTGGCTGAGCTGTTTGCCAGCCACTGTTTACAGGAGTGGAGTAACTCACTGAACGTGCCCTGTCTCATCCGCTGAAGAGGTGTGGCAGAAGGGAGAGGTGCAGGTGCTGACATACATACACACGTTAAGTGCTTCACCGAGGATCTCCCGCATGGCTTCCTCAGCTGTAGAGATCCAGCCTTGAGGAATCAGAGTGCAGTCAAGAACCTAGTTTCTTTTTTCACTCTTTGGTGCTGATTTTTTTTCTCCTTAACATTTGTAAGTTGTATCACTTAAATAGCATTTTATATCCTGTTGAGATTTAGTAGATGTAAGGCTTGTAAGCACTCCACAAATTAATTTCTTACAACTACTGGAAGCATATTGCCATATAATTTTAACAACTTGGCAACAAGAGCACCATTTAATTTCCCACAACTCTTTTTTCTTTCCTTATTATTACAGAAATGTCAGTTGAACAAGTGATTCTGGACGGCTGCTCAGGATTCTTAAGAGGATTTGATATTACATTTACATGAGTAGAGATGGAAAACAAGCAGGCACAGTGGTAATAACAGGGTGGGGCTGTCTGTTGTAACGCATGCTTTTAGCAAAGGGTCTGAACAAATTATATTTATCGTATCATATTAGAGAATGGGAAACTGAAGCATTTATTACCATTTTAAACTACCTTCTGGGGAAAGTTCTGCAGTCAGCCACCAGTAAATGCAGCCTAGTTGTCTGGCATATTGGATAAGAGTGGTGTTTGTCAGGAAGGAAGAAAATTGCTAGCCTTGGTTATAGTACCATTCCCACCAACTTGGTACCATTTTCAAGACTGTAGCAAACTTTATCTGCTTCAGGGGAATAAAGCCTTCTGTAGATACTTACAGTAGCCACTGCACGCAAGAGTAACTCTTTTTTGCTTCCATAGTTTGATGGCACTTTATGTCCAGGTGAAAAGTTTGTATAGTTTTGTGTAACCTGTCTGGTTTCTTTAAGTTTTTTGAGGTGATCAGTGTTAAAGATACTCTTGTGGATAAATGTCTAGTTCTCTTAGAAGCCTTGCTAAGATGCTGCTGGCTTCACTTCTGTATTATAACAAGCTGTGCAGGTTTGTTGCGCGTGGATGAGTGGAGATTTGGGGGTTTGCACCATTTTGGATGTCCTAGTTGAAAAAGGTGAAGGCTATACGAGGGAATGAACTGTTTTAATCTCCTTTGTGCCACAGGTCATCAGGATTGTACCTGCACCTGCCTTTTTTCCCCATAAACAGCTCGCCTTGCTTCTGTGAAACTGTTGCACTATATGCGGCAGTAGCATCTTGGACATTTTGCCCTGAACTACATACGCAATGTAGAGATGCAGCTACAAAATCAAAGCTCCGTTTAACTGCTTGCTAAGAAGCAGTTATGCGATTGTGATTGACAGATGTCTCACCAGAAATGGCAGCTTACAGGTAGCAGAATGACACTAGAGGTGTGTCAGATGCGTGTCAGGAGAACAGTTTCTAGATTAATTCAATCTGTTCTTTGATTTTCATACTTTATTTACTTAGCTCCGAGTTCTTACTAAGCACAGTTAACATGGTGTCTTTGCGTGTCCTGTTACTGGTGGAGAGGAAAGAATGATCATGCGTAAAGGTCCTCAGAAATGCAGTTGCAGTGTCAATTGCTGGGTAGTAAATTTAAGAGTTTTGGTGAATTATTACAGTATTTTGTTCGCTAAATTAATTTCATTCCTGTTTCGTAAGGATTTCAGTAAATCAGGAGTACTTATTAAATGTAGGAACTGATCCTATTCCCACTGAATTCAATTAGAGCAGATTTGAAGCTCTGGTGTATTTTACAAATTATATTACAGGATTTTTATGCATCGGAAAACAAGGATGGTGGTGATGTTTCACTGTAAATGTAATTTCCAGAGAATGAAACCTGACACTAGTTTCCAAACAACTTGTGAACTATTCTTCTTACCCTAAGTAGATGTGTGCACTTAAATTTGTTTGATGCATCTAATTGAGCATTAACATTGAAAGATGATGTAAAGTGTTTCTCTCTTAACTTTTTCTAGGACAAGGAGGGTCTACAGTGGTTTCCTTGCTTTAAACTAAATTCTTTGACAATCACAAGGCTATTTTTCTCTTCTTTGTGACTTATTTTTATTTTAAATAATATTAAATCTACTTGTTACCCAAGAGTACCTAAGACTAACTTTGTACTGGTTATTTGTATTACCTGGATTGTAATGTAACTGTTTAATGTAACCACACAGGATTTCATACTTTCATATAATGAATTGGTAGATTTGCAAAATAAACTTTAAAAAAAGCTTCATTTTGTTAGGGTTTTCTTTTTTATCAGTAAGGGGTGATGAGTGCCTGTCTATCCGAGGTTAAGTAACAGCTGTATTCAACTAAGCAGAATGTTTTTAGTCAGCCTGACAAAGGTTGCTGGGATATTCAGTTACCTGATAGACCATTCCTGCTATGACATCTTTGGGTCTGTCATTTTTTTACGTCTCGAAGTCCCCAGCAGCATCTGTAATAATTGTTACCAGCTGCATAAACAAATGGTAGCAGACCTGAAATAGTTTCAGGAAGACCCATGCATTCTCCTTGATTTCACTTTTGCAAACTAAAAGGGCAATTGTGAAGTGCAGTGACCATCAGCCACAAATCTGTATTTTCTGTTCTTACCTTTTTCACAGGATTGTACTATTCTTTATTGTAATCACCGCTTTTTTTTTTTTAAATCCTTCTCAAAACCCAGTATATTTGGACACAACTTACCTCATAAAAGGCAACACAGCACAAATGTGTAGTATCTAAAGCCTTCAAGTGACCAACTCTGTGTCGCTGTTTTTCCAGTGAGTTGCTGAGATGGGATAAAGAAATTTCCACTGCTGCGGCAAGGGAAGGGCGTGGGCTGCTCTCACTCTGCATCCCTAGAGCTGGAGGAGATGTAGGTCTGACTTTACCCTTGCTCTTTGCTAGCCAGCAGTTTATTAAATTACACAGGAAGGGAATAGCATCCCCTGGAATGCTGTGCTAAGCATACTGAGAGTGGGAAGGAGGGGGCCATCCCACATGATTTCGGTGACCAGGCTTGGGTTCTTGATCCCTTTGCAATCAATTCAGAGTATTAAACTCTGCCAGGGGATGATCCCAAGCCCCTAAGCGAGATGATCCCACTGGTCACACCGGGAAGCCATATTTCCCATGTGAGCATTTGATATTGCATGATAATGGATGTCTTCCGTGTGGGCATGTCCTGCAGCTTCAGGTGTCAGCCTGGAGCACAGAGTAAAAGTGCCCCTAGTTAAGTTTAAACTGCACACACCCCCCCCCAAAACCACAGAAAATCCAGCTTGCTGGGAAACCATCTGTAATACAGTCAGTGGGGTTGTGCAAGTGTGAATGAGAGCGGACTTCATCCACATTGTTTTTAAAGAATAGTCTCTGGTTGGCAGTCTCTGCACAAGGCAGAAAATAGAATTAAAGCTGAATCTTAAGGATGTTCCCATGGGAATCAGCTGCTTAAAGGAAGAATTACTGGACGCATACTCCTCAGGCTAGGTCAATGTTCAGTCAGCATCTGCTTTCTATCTCCATGTTGCGAGATATGCATGAATGACAACAGTTCAGTTTCTTAAAGCTCCTGTAACCTGACTCTTCATGATCCTATCCACAGTGAACAAATTCATCTGCATGAATTTAAAGCACTTTTCCATTTGGATAACAACAGGTCACTGAAAAGGGAGCTGCATTTAGGATAACTGTACTTTAATTTTAGGTGTGCTCCTTAAAAAATACAATTTTTCTTAATGTTGCAGCACTCTCGTCTTGTGAGTCAAGTCTCCTGCCGGAGACACACAGTGGAGACACGACCATGTCATTCATCTCAGGCAAGTTACAGCTTGTATTGACTTCCAGGCAGCCAGGTCATTTCACACCAGCTGGGTCTCTCTCCTCTTCATTTTTTTTAATTGTATAGCAGCTCATTCAGATGTCTCCAAATACTGCCAGCTTTTTTGCATGTGGAATGGAGAACTACACCATCACTCCAAAAAAAAATAAAATTGTTTTGCTAGATGTTCAAGTATCAAAAAAGCCTGAAAAGCCAGACAGTTGTGCTTTATCCCTGGTAAGACAGTGCCTATTCTTTGGTCACGCCTGGCTGCCAATGATCATAATAATACTGAGCAATTAGGCCTTTCATTTTCATTAGGCTAATTAATTGTTTGCACAGTGCCCTGAATATGGAATCATTTTCCTTTGGAAAGAATAAAAGGATTAGAATGGCTTCATCCCAAGATGCTCAGAACGTATTTTATTTATTTTATGGGAGAAAAATTCTCTCGCGCCCCAAATGCACACCATATACTTGAGTGTTAATGCCTGCGCTGGGATGTTTACATCAGCAGAGATGCACACAGATTATACATATGTCCATCCATCTGCCTCCACGTTCCATATGGTATCTGGAGTTTCTGCTGCATGTCAATGAGTCCACAAAGAGGCTGGAGTCGTTGTCGCATGTGTGCTGCCGGGTTTGTATGTCAGCCGTTGTCAGACTCTGGAAGAGTGATGAACACATCCCCTTGGAGATCAGCTGTCCACGGCACAGACGTGTGCCCAAGGCAGCACCGCTATAATTACGAGCGCTGTATTGTGATAGCACTCGGAGGGCAGAGCACTGGGGACTATACGTGTACTGGAGACTGTCTCGAGAGGTTTATGCTTTACGTAAATCAAAGGCAAATGAAACCTGGGCTAGGATTTCGTGAAGAAGGGTACCCAGTGGGTACAATATTGCAGAGGCTATTGCTAGCTCTTTTTTATGTTTGGCCATTCAGTGCCTCTTTGTGCTACCGTATTATTAAATATATATTTCATATTAAATAGTTCGAAGTGTAATATAAGCTTGCAGAAAGCCGTTGCAGTGGAAAGTGAGGGAACGTATTCAGGTTCAGGTTTAAGGGAGAGGTGACCATCACACAAACTTCCAGTAAAATAGTTGCTGGACTTCCCCATGCCTTTCCTTCTCTCTGCCTCTGGTATAAGACCCATTATGAGCCATCTGCAAGAGTTGAAAGTGAAAATTGTGTCCTGTGCTACTTTCTCTTCCTCTAAAGATCAGGGCACTGAGAACAGCCCTGGGTTAGAAGGGAGCATGAGAGGCCACCCAGAATATGCTCACAGCCACAGATGTCCGT